ACTTCACAAGCAAGGATTACTTGGAAACTAAATCCTCAATTACTAATATTTGCTTTACATCTTACAACGGATCAATTTAATTTAGTGATCTCCAACTTAATTGGTTATTTTTTTACCGCTCTTCATGTCAATTAGACGTATCAAATCTAATAGCAAAGAAATTGTGTGGCAAAACTTTCTAGTTATTCATAACAACCTTACCTTTTTATATAGCTTACTCGAGAAATAAGTGAAGAGCATACCACAAAAGGAGGTGAACGTCAACTACAACCTTACACATGTATATTTAATACATAAACATAACACCATCCACACAAAATCGAGGTATTGACGTAAAATACTATAAAATGTACGATTAAAACAATTAGAACAAACAGAAAACAAATGTACAAATCCTTCCATGCATAAAATGTCTTTGAGAACTGTTTGCTTTATAATAACAACCATATTTCAGAAACGTACAACACACTGTATATAAATAGTAAGTTGGACTTATCATCGTCCATAATAAATGAGTTTCAAGTCTTAAACTTATGCTTGTTTTGTCTTCCTATGAGCAGTACTGCAACATGCAACATAATAATTGACCAGCGACATTAACTTGCTGAAATAGCCAAATTTATTCTCTTTCTCCTTCCCTTTCAGTTCTGTCCCTTTCTCTTCACTATTTATTGGGCCAACACGGGTTGGCTTCAACTTGCTACACGCATGTACCCCAAGACCCAAGTTAGAGAAATTGTGTGGCAAAACTCTCTAGTTATTCATAACAACCTTACCTTTTCATATAACTTACTCGAGAAATATGTGAAGAGCATACCACAAAAGGAGGTGAAAGTCAACTCCACCCTTACACCTGTATATTTAATACATAAACATAACACCATCCACACAAATACGAGGTATTGACGTAAAATACTATAAAATGTACAATTAAAACAATTAGAACCTACATAAAACAAATCTACAAATCCTTCCATGCATAAACGGTCTTTGAAAACTGTTTGCTTTATAATAACAACCATATTTCAGAAACGTACAACACACTGTATATAAATAGTAAGTTGGACTTATCATCGTCCATAATAAATGAGTTTCAAGTCTGAAAATTATGTTTGTTTTGTCTTCCTATGAGCAGTACCGCAACAGGAAACATAATAATTGGCCACTGACGTTAACTTTGTGAAATAGCCAAATTTATTTATTTCTCCTTCACTTTCGGTTCTGTCCCTTTCTCGTCACTATTTATTGGCCCAACACGATTTGGCTTCAACTTGCTACACGCCTGTACCCCAAGGCCCAAGTTCGAGAAATTGTGTGGCAAAACTCTCTAGTTATTCATAACAACCTTACATTTTCATATAGCTTACTCGAGAAATATGTGAAGAGCATACCACAAAAGGAGGTGAACGTCAACTCCAACCTTACACCAGTATATTTAATACATAAACATAACACCATCCACACAAAATCGAGGTATTGACGTAAAATATTATAAAATGTACAATTAAAACAATTAGAACATACAGAAAACAAATGTACAAATCCTTCCATGCATAAACTGTTTTTGAGAACTGTTTGCTTTATAATAACAACCATATTTCATAAACGTACAACACACTGTATATAAATAGTAAGTTGGACTTATCATCGTCCATAATAAATGAGTTTCAAGTATGAAAAGTGTGCTTGTTTTGTCTTCCTATGAGCAGTACTGCAACATGCAACATAATAATTGACCACCGACGTTAACTTTCTGAAATAGCCAAATTTATTTTCTTTCTTCTTCCCTTTTGGTTCTGTCCCTTTCTCTTCACTATTTATTGGGCCAACACGGTTTGGCTTCAACTTGCTACATGCATGTACCCCGAGGCTTAAGTTCGAGAATTCAAGCAGAAAAAAGATGTGATGCATGGTTTCACATTTTGATGGGTCCGACCGATCAAGACTTTTTGACCATTTTGATCTGTAACCATTGATTTATTGGTTGGTTGTTGCTCTGCCCGTCTATAGACTGAAGACTGTCCATCCACTTGCTGTCGTAGATGTATAGGTGAGAAATACCTACATTATGATGGCATTTGTTTCTTATAGTAACAAAAAAGTTATAACCATAGTTTAGAGTTTATGTTACGTCGATTTATTCTGCACAGTCGCTTTTGCTTTCTTTTACTAACTATTATTTGACGAACGATACCTACTATACATCTTCCTCCCTTGAATTTATTGTAACCAAATCGGTGCAATCATCCCCTTATTCTTGTTGGATTTAACTGATCTTTTTGTACAGTTCATGATTTTCTTTCGAATAAAATAACTGTGTCCATTAACATTGTACATGGGCCAGACAAAAGAAATTATTGATATTAATTCATTTTATTATATCTCCTTCCAGTGAAAAAGGTAATCTGTTTTGCTAAGAGTTACTCTCAAGTCAGTGATCAAAATTTATATCAAAAGTCACGTTTCGATATTCAAGCACCAAAGAGACCGATAAGAGTAATTAACCTTTAAAGATAGGAGCGTTTTATAGGAATAAAAATGGACAGCTATCTGGTGGTACAAGCACATGCAATGGCATTACACATATCTAATAATACTTGTATTGTACATCAACAACATACACCAACCATAGGGACCCGAGCATAGTATATGTCTTTTTCGCATTGAGTACAAGCAGATAAAACAAAAAAGAGCTCACCTAGACGACATCAAAAGCCTCCTACAATGCATGTACGGGAAAACAATAGTGCACACTGACTATTAGAACCCAATAATAGTGTACGTCCATTTCATATTGAATACAAGAAGATAAAATAGAGAAGAAGACCCAAGCATAGTGTACGTCCCTTTCATATTGAATACAAGTAGACAAAATAGAGAAGAACTCACCTAGTACCCCAAGGCCCAAGTTCGAGAATTCAAGCAGAAAGAAGATGTGATGCATGGTTTCACATTTCGATGGGTCTGACCGATCAAGACTTTTTGACCATTTTGGTCTGTAACCATTGATTTACTGGGTGGTTGTTGCCCTGCCCGTCTATAGATTGAAGACTGTCCATCCACTTGCTATCGTAGATGTATAGGTGAAAATACCTACATTCTGATGGCATTTGTTTCTTATAGTAATAAAAAAGTTATAACCATAGTTTAGAGTTTATGTTACGTCGATTTCTTCTGCACAGTCGCTTCTGCTTTCTTTTACTAACAATTATTTGACGAACGATACCTACTATACATCTTCATGCCTTGAATTTATAATAACCAAATCAGTGCAATCATCCCCTTATTCTTGTTGGATTTAACTGATCTTTTTGTACAGTTCACGATTTTCTTTCGAATAAAATAACTGTGTCTCGTAACCTTGTACATGGGCCAAACAAAAGAAATTATTGATATTAATTCATTTTATTATATCTCCTTTTAGTGACAAAAGTAATATGTTATAATTGCTAAGAGTTTTACTCTCAAGTCAGGGATCAAAATTTATATCAATCTTAATACATACATACATACATATATCATTGCCTCAGTTTCATATGTCACTCACTACAAGAAATGTTTGGCCAAAAAGAAAGTCTGACAAGAACAAACAGAGATTAGGAGACATGATCTTATCAACCTGGAAGGGAAAATAGTAGAAATGAAACAAAACACAAAGAGATCGACAAGAGTAATTAACCTCAACAGGCCAGGGAAGAGCGAACAAAAGAACAGAAAATGAAAAATAGGAAAGAAGCGAAGGACAAGAAATCATAATCTGATCGAGAGGCCACGCAAACATGACAGCACGACAAAGACCAGAACGGTTGTTCTTATCCGAATCAATTTCTTAGTTGATTTTCGCTTCGGTCGCTACCTCCAAATATCACAGGGTCACAATCACTCGTCGATGCTCTGTGCCTGGGTGTTCCTTTAGATTCAAGCTTCCCTGGAAGTAGATCGGTGGCGGTTGGAAATTGGAAATTGTTCGTACGATTCTTTGCTCTAAGTTCAATTTGTTGTTCTCTTTTGCATGCAAATTTTAGCCAAAGCGTTTCTGAGTTTTTTTTAACCATGAATTGGATGTTGATCGCGATTCATGCAGGTTCTAAGTAGCTGGCTAAAAATTTGATTTGATTAAGTACCCAGAATATTTAGCATATTTATCCAGCTACTGTAATATTTAGTTTATGGCTGAATCTTGATTTAGGTAATCGAAAGTGACAACAACTTTCATGTACATTCACCATAGCACAAGAAGTATGAGCATATTTTTTGAATGATACAGTGGACTTTATTTGGCAATGAATAAACAGACAACAAAATTGCGCGAGTTCGGCGAAGAAAGCGAACTCTTCGCCAATCTCCAGAAGAGTGGTCAACGAGGACCTGGTGATGAAGCACTCCGACCAGCTAAACTCCGTCGTCAGGTACCGGTCACGTCGAGACGTGCCTCAGCCTTTCTACATGCAGCTCCATGCTACCACCGTCACCATGTGCCCTTCATGCTAGTGCGTCACCACGGCCAACACCTCCACCGCTTTCGTCGCTCGCGCATCCACCTCCCCCAGCCCAATCACCATCGTGGTGGCTATTGCCACAGACGACACCAACAATTCATCAACAACATTGTCTTTCGGTAAACCTGGCGGTGGCGGTGAAAGAAATGGCAGCAACAGTATTGTGTGCATCAGCTCCACAGCAACAGAAACAGCCTCAACCTACCCAACCAATCGCGTCATGACTCAAAAAGGAAGGCTACAGCTCCTGATAAACCACATGAAATGGTTGGGAATAATAACAATGAATTCCATGAAATGACCATCCCATGAACAATTATGCAACTGTAGAAGAAACAAGTAGAAAAAAAAAGAACGAAAGAGCACCCAACGTCTCGAGAAAGGAAGAAAATTGTGGGAATCCCCTTCAAAGATATGAACGGTTTTATAGGAATGGAAATGGACAGCTATGTGATGATACCCATTCATATTGTAATTGTAAGAAGATAAAATAGTGAAGAAGACCCAAACATAGTGTACGTCCCTTTCATATTGAATACAAGAAGATAAAATAGTGAAGAAGACCCAAGCATAGTGTACGTCCCTTTCATATTGAATACAAGCAGACAAAATAGAGAAGAACTCACCTAGTCGCGTCCGCAGGGGAGAATCTCCTCCTTAGCTACAGTTCGCTTCCGTTCAAAATTATATGTTATAATTATATGTTGTGCAAAAGCTTACTCTTTTACCCATCATTTTGCTTTTACCTAGAAGCTAGACTTTGACTACATTGGTTATAACGTAGGTTTATTGGCTTGTTCTCGACATCAAAGAGAACCTCCCACTCAAGAGTTCCGAGTAAAATATCTCAAGTCGGCCCAGAAATCGAGATTTAGGTACTCGTGAACAACACACATATGGTAATTATTAATTAGCTAAACAAATCAAATGAAAGTATACTTCAAATCAATTCAGAAATTAATTATTTACATGGTTAGGTTGACTGTGGATGAATTCCACACCTAGTTGGTCACACTTAATGGTATATACGGACTCCACCTGGTAAGTTACTGATTAGATCAGAAAGATGAGCCGTCAAGTTGGTGCATCCTCGAACATCTACTTCTCTCAACTGGGAGAGCTGTCCCAGATAAGGTAACTTTCCCAACGATGTGCATCCTCTCACCTTGAGTGATTTTAAAGACTCCAAATTTGCAATGCCCTCAATCTCCCTCAAATTCGGCATATCCCTGATCTTTAACTTCTGTAGCTTTCCAAGCTTTGGCAATGAAGGTAGCCTCTCTACCAATGGTTGCACGTTACCCAGATCCAAGTAGACTAACTCTTCTAGACACTCGAGCCCTCTCAGGGTAACAACTAGATCGATCCTCATGTCTTGAAGTGACAAGGTCCGAAGCCTGGGGAAGTTGGACAAATGAGGCACCTCGACGAGTCTACTTCCTTCTTGCAGCAGGGATGTGCAACCACTTATGCTCAGGATATACAAAGAAGATGATTCGGTGGTTGCTGATGATGTTGCTTGGTCGCGGTTGCCATCATCATCGTCGTCATTGTCACTAAGTTGTTGGGTGCCCGCTGCCATTAATGATAGGGATGCAAGACGAGGGCAGTCATGTATGATTAACCTTTTGAATTTTTTAGAAGAAGATAGCAAATAGCAGAGTGACGGGATCTGGATGAGAAGAGGGCATTCATTAATGATTAAGGTGTGCAGTTCCTTCAGTTGGCTATAGATAGGCAGTCTTTCCAATGCGAAACAACGGTACAGTTCCAAATCAGCCAAAGGGTGTTGCTGCAGAGGATCATTAATGTTGATTAGGTCGTCAAGATGACGTAAATTTCCAACTTCCGATATTTGCAGAGTTTGTAGTGATCTCAGGCCATGAAGCCCTTGAATCTCCCGAGGCATAGGACATCTTTTGAAGATCAATTCGGTCAGATTCTCGAGGTTCTCCAAGTTTGGCACCCACTCCAGTTTTGTGCAGGATCGAATATGGAGGTCGGTTAGAGCTGATGGAAGCCGGCAGTCATCAGGATTGGCGATGCACCACATTCTGGAAGCGAACTCGAGTCGCAGAGACTTCAACTTGGATATCTTCCACCACCGTAACACTAATTTGTTGTTGTCATCATGATCAAATGTTGTTGCTGATGCAGCTGGAGGGATCTCAAAGCCAAATTTACAGCTTATGAATTCTAATTTCTCCAACTCTAACAGCGCTGACAGATTAGTAATTGGACAGGAAGTTGCCAGCTCCTTCAAACTTGTAGTGGGAAAATACTGCAATTCCCCAATACTTGAAGCTACTGCTCCCAATATTTGAAGATACTGCAATTCCCCAACATCGGCGAGAACTTTTCCCAGGTTCTCGCACTTGCACGACGAGACCTTCAGCTCTCGAAGGCCCTTCATCACCCTTCCAATGGTTCCACCAACTATCTTTTTGATGCAAGCGAGGTCGAGGCGAAGCACTAACAGGTTCCTCAACTTGCTAATGTCCAGCTCAATGTTGTTGTCCACCAGAGATCGGTTAAGAGTATTGAAGCTACTAAGATCCAGTACCTCCAGACTCCCAGATTGCGGCAACTCGGGAAGTTTACTCATTTTCCAACAACTGGAAAGATTCAAAATTTTCAGCTTATTTGCCGTCTGCAAACAATTGACGCACCATAGGTAAGTGTCAACTAGGTTCAAGAGACGATCCAACGACGAAAATTTCTTTATAATAATTTAACTATACAACATGATTCATATCTGCAGATAATAATTAATTATTACCTTCAAATGAGTCCAGCCTCCCCAATCGTTGCTAGCACCAAGATCAAGAATAACCAAGTTTTTCATATGAAGATTGATCAGAGGATCATCATCCTCCTCCAAAAACTTCATTCTAAGCCATTTTAAATTGGGAAGAAGATTATTGAAGTCACCGCTCAACTTTATGCGTTGTGCAGATGCATTAAAGTATCTCAACCTTGATAAGTTCACAAAACATTCACTAGTCAACTCCAGAGATCGTTCCCGTCCCGGTAAGGTTACCTCAATGGCTTTAACTTGTTCTGTTCCCTGTTTTTTAATGAATGAAGTGAACAGTACAAGTCATTAAACAAAAATCTATTATTATTATTATTATTAACTATAAGGTATATATAGTTAGTAAAGCATTTTGCACAACAAAAATTTGAAGTATCTAAGCATTGTATATATAGATTTAACTAATGTATGTATTTATAACCGTATATAAGAGAACATATTCGGAAATATACCTTATTTTCATGTAATAGCTCCTGAGCGGTTTCTTCCGTCCATATTCTACTCCTCGTCCATGGATATTCAATACTTTCTCTACGAACGATTTCTCTGCCCATATCTCTCAATTGATCGTGCATTTGAAATCGACTATCATCCCCAATTTTAACCATCGACCTCTGAATAAGAAGATTAATATTAATGGTTGGGTCGAACTTGCAGTCGCTCCACATGTAACAAGGCAATTCTTTCTCTTCTCCAATATAAAGACAAGCGATATCCAGAAATATCTCTTTTGCTTCATACTCCAATGCATCATAACTTATTTTTAGTCTTTCTATAACATCCTTCTCTGGTACCCCTCTTAGCTGCTTCAATTTAGCCTCCCAAATCGATTTCTCTTCTAGGTACAAAAGTGATCCTACAACCTCAAGAGTCAATGGTAGCCCACCCGTGGTGGACACGATATTATTTGATAATATGTCATAGCCCGGTTGGGGGGAATTCTTCTTGAATGCGTGCTTGCTAAAGAGTTGAAGCGAGTGAGTAGGGCTCAATGCCTGAACTTCATACAACTTGCATCTATGTTCGCTCAAAGTACTTAAAAGTTTGTAGTTTCTCGAAGTCACGATAAATCTACTTCCGGAAACAAATCTTCGAGGATTCCCTAAGATTTCATCAAATCTAAACTTCTCATCGATATCATCAAGAACGATAAGGATTTTGAACCGGGAAACTTTATCCGCTATAATTCTTCTTCCTTTACTAACATCATCGACGGATTCCTTCTTTCTCATAGCATCCTCTATTATCTTCTCCTGTATTTTTAAAATACCATCATTTTGTTGTTGTATTTGCCGTATGTTCCCCACAAAACTACAGCGATCAAAGCGAGGCAGTATTTTGTTATAGACCGCTTTTGCAAGAGTGGTCTTGCCAATCCCACCAATCCCATGAAGTCCAACCATTGTCGCGTCTTTAGACTCTAAACTTAGACGTTTCACTACCTCTTCTACATGACCGTCAATGGCAACCAATTCACCAGTCTCTACTGTGTAATACGACCTGCGTAGGTGTGACCAAATACTGTCCGTAACAAGATCCGCATATTTACCTTGCCTGAAAATTGAAAAGGGTTGCAAAAAAAAAAAATCAATGAAATAAATTGTTGATAGTGTTAGAGAGTGGTATAAGATCCAGCAGAACCTTCTCCCAACAACTCGAGTTATTGGGAGCAACTGGTTCTTGACAGATAGTGAGTACCATAAAAGCTAGAATGAGAGTTACATACTCGCCATTGTCCTTGACGTGCCATCCTTTCAATTCCGCGACCGTGGCTAGAGCTGCTTTCCATTTCTGTATGGTCTCCGGATCAAAGTTTTGTTTTGCATGTTCTCGAAATGCATTTTCAAAAGGTCCGGTTTGATGCCGTACATCTCTCGGGTCCACCATATAGAAGATGGGAAGTATGATGCGCCTCTTGTCGTCTCCCTTTAGGTTCTCGACGATTTCGGCGAGCTCCTTAAGGCACCATCTGCTGTGAGCGTAACTCTTGGAAAATATCGGCACGTAGATCTTGGAGTGGCCGATAGAGTTAACGAGGGAGGGCCATATCTCTTCCCCCGTGCGGAGCTCGTCGTCGTCCTTAAACGTGTGGATTTTTAAGCGGACGAGAGCACGGAAGAGAATATCAGTAATCTGATAACGAGTGTCCGGACCTCTGAAACTCAGGAACACGTCGTACTCCACAGAGGGAAGGAGTACTGGTGAATCGGAAGAATCAGCGATCGTAGTCGCCGATGGTGAATTATCGGAGTGTTGAGTGGTACCAGTGCGATTCGTGTTGTTGTTCGTGCCAAACACCGCAGAGGGATGAAGGGATGGTGAACTAGAAGAAGAAGAATCTACAGAGTGATCAGACGACAGAACCAAAGATATTGTGACCACGTCAGACGACGTCGAATCTGGCTGTTGTTGAGTGGTGGTTCTGCTGCTGGTGCTGCAATTTGTGTTGTTTGTTTCGTCATTGGAACAACTACTTCTCCTTACCGACCACAAGAGCTTGTAGAGGAGTATCAATGGAAGCACCAGCGCGGTAACTGTGGCTGCTCCTCGGATATAGTAACTCATTTTCTTCAAGAATCATCATCATATAAATTAAAACGAATTCCAAAATCCATTGAGAATTGACATCATCATTGTTAGTCATAATGAAACCAATGCTTCTATTCAATTTTTTTTTTTTTGACAAATTCGAGCTAAAACGAATAGAATACAAATGAATAAAAAATTTAAAAAGTCATTTAATCTCAACCATCAAATCTGCACCACCTTAAATTAAGAAGTGCTCAATTACATTGATTACAAAATCAATGAAGAATAGACTTCAAAAATTCCTTGAAAATAACTTTCAAAATTGGATAAAAGTTGTGAAAAACAGCCATCGTGAGAGTCATGAATAATAGTATCGACAAAAGAATAGCCTTTAAAATTTGTAAATAATTGCCATTGAAATCGTGCAAATCCATGAATACAAACTTTCAAAATCGCGCTAGTTATGTGTAATAGTTTCGACTGTCAATGTATTTTTATTTATCAGAATTTTCTATACGAGGATTATATTATGGATGATTTTAAGCAAATGAATTTTTTTTTGGGTGAAAAATAGCCTTCAAAATCAGGCAAAAATTTATGAAGAATAGCGGCCTTCAAAATCGAGATTTTTCCCAAAATGCCCTATTTGACTAACAAACTTATCAAAATTAAATACCCTTGTTCTTATCAAGAAATCAGCAGTGATTTGATTTCCACCAAACTGGGGTCTATTGAGGATTTTGATAAGAACATGAATATTTTGCTTATTTCGTTAGCAAATTAAGTAGGACATTTTGGGGGGGAAATCCCAATTACATGACCAACCTATGGTTATGCATTCATCCTATGCCATTGCATGCATGCTTGCGTATACGTAACTAGCTAAACATTAATTAATTGTGCATGGGAAATTATAATTTAATTATTCTACCCGTTTGATTTTTGCCACACTGATAATGAATTAGGGCCGAATGTAATTAACCTCCAAAGCCAAGTGTACGTAAGGGAATTAATTAAACACATGCAAATTATACCAACTAATTACTATTATATAAAAGAAGGCAAATTAAAGCGAGAGATACATACCGTGAATCTTGATTAATGAATGGCTCTCTCAGTCTCGGATGCTAATTAATTAATTAAGAGAGGAATGAACGAACGAACAGTACTATAATATTATATGTTTAAGGGATGCCTACGTAAGTCGATCGATCGATCATCTATATATATAATATGAAAAAAGGAGTGAATTAGAAGACATTTTTCCCCACTGGAAACACGTTTTTGTTTGTACTTGGTTTCCAAGTAAATTAAGTTTCAAGATTCTTTGACAGGTATTATATTCTAAAGGGCAAAGATAAAGAAGGCATATGTACTTGTGTTTGAACATGAAGAAACGAATTGGATTTTTGCGTATGATATAATTAATTAATAGGCTTTGTGTCTACTTTTTCGGTGCAGCTACGTATAGTTCAGGATGAGCTATAGCCGCCAAAGTTAATATGCTAACTTGAAAATTCGTTAGCAAATACTAATTAATATCCGAAATACATGAATTAGTATCCAAGTACTAAAATATCTAGAAAGCACAAACTAGTATTCAAAGTTGGCTAACTGATATACACCATGAATCAACTATTATCCCAAATTTACAAACTAATATCTAAACAACACAGAATAGTATCCATACAGCACATAAATAGTATTCATACAACACATAAGAGTATCCAGATAACACATAAGAGTATCCATATTGAATACTAATTGGTTGGTTGTGGATATTAGTTGGTATCTGCTATCTGGATACTAGTTTGTGATGTTTTGAATACTAGTCTGTGCTATCTAGATACTCAACAGATTTGGATATTAGTTCATACATTTTGGATATTAGTTAGTATATACTAACGAATTTTCTAGTTAGCAGAATAACTAGGCTGAGCTATAGCGCCCTCCTCAATATTTGAACTTAGGTTATAATATAAAAATATATATGTTAAACAAGGATGATGTTGGGTATAGGCACATGGACCAAATCAGTGGGGGACATGAGCCCAGAAGGTGTAGTTGGGCTCAAGCCCAATGAGCACCATGAATGAGCAACAGAACTGGATGTAGGCCCAGTTGAGGAGGAGCGGGCACGTAACGACAAAAGTAGATGCGGGGACCATGTGACCTAGGAGTCAGGAAGGTAAGAATGTGCCACCTGGAAATGTGGTCCTGTCGGGCGCCTAGACGCCGAGGTCCGGGAGCTGCCACGTGTAGATATCCGACCGTTGGACCGACCAAGCATTTAATGACGCGCTGACATGGAGCATGATTCCAGGAGCCTGGTCGGAACCTCAACGAGTATAAATAGTACTCGGTAGGTAGCATTTATGAAGGTTGGCTTCTCACTCTAAAACTTGATTTAACACTTCTCTCTCTAGATTCGGCACTGACTTGAGCGTTGGAGTGCTAACGGGCATCCCAAAGCCCTTTAGGCGCTTGTTCTTGTAGGGTCCAGGCGCCCCGGAGGAGTACGATTGCGTGAGGTCAAGTGAGGTGAACCGGAGTGTACTTGGCACTAACAATTGGCGCGCAAGGTAGGGGGCGCATGGAAAACTTGAACGTCGAGAACGAGGGGGAGGACGTTTCGAGGTTGGACAACTCGAGTCATGAGGAAGGCGAACGTCAACCGAGCCAGGAGCTGAGCATGGAAGTGGAAGGGCAAGCGAGCCCTGGGCGCCTGTCAGCAGACGAAGGGGAATCTTTGACGAAGAGAGAGCTATTTCGAATCATAGCCGACCAAGATCGGGCCATTGCGGCGCTCAGGAGGGAGTTGGATGGGGAGCGAAGTGAAGATGTGATGATGTATAGCCCAGGAGCGAGGAAGCGAGAAAGGATGGGGGAGGATTCGGAGTCCCTGCAGCACGGGCTCCCGCATCAAACTGATCAAGGACATGACATGCCCAGGCGCTCACGCGCCTGGAGGCTGCCTGCTGAGCATACACAGGCGGAGCCAGAAGACTTATGGGCGCCTAGAAGACTTGCCAAGTGGTTCGGCGTCCGACAGCCCTTGGCCCGAGGCATCCTTATGGAACCGGCGGGAACCACAATCCCCCCGTTACCCAGTTACGATGGGGTGGCGGACCCCGAGGATCATTTGAACAGCTACTTCACGAAGATGCAGCTTTACAACAGCTCAGACGCCACATTATGCAAGGTGTTTCCATCCACGTTTGCGGGCGTAGTATTGGATTGGTACCATCAAATCGAGGAGGGCGCATAGAGTGTTTTGAGCAGTTGGGGGCAGGGGTAGGCGCCGACTCTTGTGGGGTCTTTGGCCTTTCAGGCGCTTCATGGGTCACCGGGGCTTCAGGCGCCTTTGGGACCATCGTGACTTCTGGCGCCTGCCTTGTTACGTACGTCCGGTGGGTCCTATCTTCCACCCTCCTAACAAAGTCATTGAGCATGCCCTTGTCGGCTAAAGCCTGCAGTTCGGCCTTAAGTTGGTAGCAGTCGGTCGTGTAGTGCCCTTTGTCGCGATGAAAGTCGCAATACCTATCAAGGTTCTTTTTGTTAGGCTGGCCGCGCATGGGCCCCGGCCACCGTATGTGATAGCCCCTATCCTTCACATACTGTAGCACATTTTTGAGCGTATCATTGTATTCCGTAAAATTTGCTGAGCTCCTTGGTATGGGACGAGGCGCCTCCTGTCTTCTTTGCGGTCCAAAATTTCCAGATGGCAGCCGGGGCGCCTGCCTCGCCTCCAATTCGTCACCCCTAAGGCGCCTCTTTTCAGCTCTCCATGCCGCCAACGTCTCCTCCAACATGATTACCTTCTGCACTCTTCGGTCTAGATCTTCGGTGGACACCACATCTCGCTTAGAAAGGACTCGGCAGAGCTCTTCGCTCGAAGTACAAGCGTCTAAACAAACCCCCAATACCGCCGGTTGGACATCTTTGACTGCCATGGCTACAGAGATCCACCGGTCGTAAAACTCTCTAAGCGCCTCCCCCTCCCTCTGCTTCACTTTAAACAATGCGCCTATGGTTATCTCGCTGCAATTGCCGCGCGTCTGGTCTTATGCGCCTGCCCCCCGCGTAGCCCGAATTGGGGTAGTTGGTCCCCGTTGGCTTGGAATGTACCGGGAATACTTCAGATTCGGTTTGCGGTTTCCTTTAGATTCAATTCTTGAAGGCATCCTAGAACTTTGTCAGTGTTCACTTGGGCGCCTGTCCCCTTCCGTTTTTCTTATTCATATTCTTTTCAAGCTAAAGTGTCGTCAGCACAACGTCACGCCCACTTTTAGGCTTTTCCACCACTTCTTCACCATGGTGCATAGCAACAACTGTCTATCGTTGCAAAGGCGCATAGACATTCCGGGTCATTTCCTGATAGATTCTCCAAAGTTAGGAAGGGAGTGGTTCAGATCTTTTTTCTTCATTAAACCTCGTAAGGCGTCCTTTTATGAAAGTGGAGCTTCCTTTACCCGCGGCTGGGCGCTTGGTGACGTGGAGGCGTTTAACATTGAGGCGCCCTTGACCACGGACGAGGAGATTGAAGGCGCCCGTCTTTTATCTTTACATCCCGTGGACTTAAGTTCTACGGCCGCTAGGACGCCCGTACTCCACGAGTACTATAATGACGGTGGGCGCCTATGTTTGTGTGTAGGGCGCCTATGTTCCTTATTTTGTTGTGTGTTTGTGGGCAGGTGCTGACTTTACGTCCGTGACCACCCTAATGAAGAGCCAATTTGTGAAGATGGGGTTGGTACCCAAACGGGCGCCTAGTTCGAGAAAAGGCCAATCGAGGGGCGCTCAGACTTCAAAGGGGAATGCAGCTAAGGTGGATCGGGATGTTGCCGGTGGATCGCAGGTGCGCAACCCCGAGGCTGACAAGCGCAAGGGGCGTACGGGTCGGAAAGGAAAATCACCTAAGAGGATTCAGCCCGACCCAATTCCAAGCGCCCTCATCGTCGACGAAGTGACTGACTTCACCGACGTGAGGGAGGATCAGGCGCCTGAAACTACCTTGCTTCCAAAACCAATCGCGC